AGCGAGTGAGTGAGTGAGTGAGTGAGTGAGTGAGTGAGTGAGTGAGTGAGTGAGTGAGTGAGTGAGTGATTCAGTGAGTCAGTGATTCAGTGAGTATTATTATGTCCGTACTCTATTAAAAACTGGCCTTTTTTCAAATACTGACTGAAAAAAATTTGAAAAAAACACAAACATTTTCATAACAGTTTCGCAGAAGCCCCTTTTGATAAAAACCCCGGGTTGACCGCCACCCTTTCATTAAATCCGACCCTAAACAACCCATCAAAACCAACCGACCTAGACCAATTTTCTCCCCTTCGTCTGGGGGTAGGAGGAAGGTGAGTAGAGTCAGCATGGAAATTAGTGCGCAGGGGATGATGAGGTTGAAGCCATAGTACAAAGAGCGCCGCCTGATGTGGATGGTGAAGGTGATGTCTATGTAGGTCGCCTCGCAGCAGTCGTATTTTATCACATTTCGTATTGCCGGTGCCTCTGAAATGGAATGAATTTTTCGCAGAGTGAATAAGTGAGCGAGTGAATGAGTGAAAAAGAGTGAATGGGAATGAGTGAATTCTAAATAAGTGAATGGGTGATTAAATGGGTGGATGTAGAGGAGTGAATATTAAATGAGTGAATGAGTGAAAAGGAGTGAATGTGAATGAGTGAATGAGTGAAAAGGAGTAAATGTGAATGAGTGAATACTAAATAAGTGAATGAGTGATTAAATGGGTGGATGTAGAGGAGTGAATATTAAATGAGTGAATGAGTGAAAAGGAGTGAATGTGAATGAGTGAATGAGTGAAAAGGAGTAAATGTGAATGAGTGAATACTAAATAAGTGAATGAGTGATTAAATGGGTGGATGTAAAAGAGTGAATATTAAATGATTGAATGAGTGAAAATGAGTAAACAAGTAAATAAATGAATGACATTTTTTGCGAATGAGCGAGTGAATGAGTGGAAAATGAGTGGATGTAGATGAGTGAATATTAAATGAGTGGATGAGTGACTGAATGAAAAATAGGCGTACAAAATTGAATGAGTTAATGATTATTATAAGTATGGTGGAAATGTTTTGAAAAATATGTTTGTATTGAAGATGGTTTAAATTTGAATGATTGTGGTAATCAAAACAACCATACAGACAGACGACTGGGGAGACAAACGGACAAAAATCTACACAGACAGACAACTACAGAGACAACCACACAAAAATCTACACAGACAGACAACTACAGAGACAACCACACAAAAATCTACACAGACAGACAACTACAGAGACAACCACACAAAGAGACAACTAGGCAGACAGACAGTCTACCAGACAGACAGACAGACAGACAGACAGACAGACAACCAAACATACCAAGCAAATCCCACTCTCCATTGATCTGATAGTTACTGAGATCAATGTCATCAGACT